AACCTACATCACGGTATAAATTCACCATTGAATATAGTTTTTAGGAGGTATATGTAAGAAAAGTAGTGTGCACTATATTCAAAGAAACTCTGTAAAAATATAAATTGTATTTGAAACATTTTGAAGTCATGGTGGGAATATTAATTAGAGAGATTGACAGTATACTATTATAATAATTGTTTTGTTTGTTTTGTTAGATTTGTAAAAATGAATATGATAAAGGTGTTGCTACTGCTTCTGCTGCTTACATTGTTTGAAGTTTTGGCTCAAGATAAGAAAGACTACTATACACTTTTGGGAGTGTCACGAAATGCACCTGACAGGGAGATAAAGAAGGCGTTCCGCAAGCTGGCAGTTAAATATCATCCCGACAAGAACAAGGATAAGGGTGCAGAGGAAAAATTTAAGGAGCTGGCACAAGGTGTGTTTATTTAACATAATATTATGTACATTTTAGTCCAGACACATTTCATTATTGTTGATCTAGCTGTTTGTTTGGAGAAATGAGCTGTTAAATTTTCTGAAGACAAGTAGTCGGCCTTTTGTCATCTGAAAGAGTGGCTGCCTCCTCAGAGCCCTTACTTAGACTTCTGTCTTTTTATCTGTAATGAGAGGATTATCTCCTCTGCTCACCTTGCCAAACTGTTTGTGTTATATGCTAGAGTAGCATTGTTTTTCTTCCAGCAAAAATGAGTTATACTAAAGAAAGGATATAAAGTCTTAAATCATTTAAAGCAAAATTTGAATATTTGCGAAATGAGGAGTTGGCCTACTGGAATTGGTGTTGCCTTCTAAATATTGGCAAGTTGATTCTTCATGACTGTCGATGAGTAATGATGCATTTATGTTGATTTTGGTTTTGTAGCATATGAGGTCCTGTCAGATCCAGAGAAGAGGAAGAAATATGATCAGTTTGGTTCATCGGCTTTTGAGAATGGAGGTGGAGGTCAGGCTTTCCACTTCAATTTTGATGACATTTTCCGCAACTTTGATGATGATTTTGGACGAAATTCCTTCCACTTTGGAGGACACCCTTATGAGGAACAGGGTCACAGTTTCTTTAACTTTGAGGATTTTTTCCAAGAGGTAAGTAAGTATTTAGATAATTTGACATATTGCCAATAATCCGTATGTAGTAATTATTAAGCACTTGCTTTTCTTAAAATTGAGAATTTTAAGAGTGAATCCTTTTATATATATATAAAAGAACTGATACTGATGGAACTAAATTATTTCAGAACAGCAGATTGGAAAACTGAAATTAAGCTAATTGTTTTTTAAGGCACTTGTAATGTTATTATGTATGATCATGTTGCCACCTGTTTTGTGATCTCTTACTTTCCCAGAATAACATAAATTACGGGAATTTGATGGGAGTGAAATGCTTGAAAAATATTTTGACTGAAGATGGATGAAGTGAGGGACAATTAGGAGCTTACATAATGAGGAACATTTGTACAGGTCATCCAATATTATTAAGATGGTGAAATTAACAAGCCTGAACTGGGCTGGATGTGTGGCTCAAAAGCATATATTTCTGTAGTCTTCATGTGGTCTTCTGTGGTTGTCTGTTACAGGAGGCTGAGCCATTTATTCACACTCGGTATGGTCATGAATCTCATGCATTTGGTAGTGGCAGTTCTTTCTTTGGCTCTCATTTTGGACATTCTCATCATGAAAGCAGAGTTCATCAGAGTTCGGGTGGACAATCATGCCGTACAGTGACGCAGCGAGTTGGCAACATGGTAACAACATACACACAATGCTCCTAGGAACATCGTGATGTAGATAGTACCAAGGACAGCTTTTTTCTAACCATTAATTGTACAATAGGTTTGAAAGTCTTTCCATCTTGTGCTCATCACATGAGCTTGTCAGATGTAACATGGAATAGTGTTTGTGTCTATATAATACATCAAGCAGTATCCCTGTGTCAGTTGGGTTCGAAAAGATAAAGTTTGTATTAAGATACGGTGATGTGTTGCCCCTCAGGGTGTGTGGTATGTACAGGTTTGTTAGTGGAAGTGCCATACAAAATGGACAGATTTGGCAAACAAAGCCACACTGAAAAAGAATTAAGATACAAGCTTACATAAATTCCATGCTGTTGACATAATAGTTACATCTGTATTTCAGTATACAAGAGTGTGAGGAAGGGTCTGCTAAGTGGACAACATACTAGCATATTCTGGAAGCAAGGGAAATAGAAGGGTGTGCCTTCAAACTAGTTTGTAAATATGTACATTATTATTTATAACATGCTAGGCTTAAATTCAACATATGGGCTGTAAATTTTGGAAACCGCATGCAAATTTTGTGTAGCTTCAGTCATTTTAGCTCAAAAGAATTTTTATTTTTCAATTTTTTTGTGGAATGGGATGCTACTACTTCTTAATAACACAGATATTAGGGCATTCAATAGATTTTATGTCCCTTGTGAACAGCCAGTAGAAAAAGTTGCCACTATTACAACATAGTGGCCGAATACTGTCTAGTCAGCAGGAGGTGCAAGTCTGTATCTTGCTTCACTGGCATTTTAGTTCAGTGTGAGTGTAAATAAATCTTGGTACTATCTCCTGGTTCACTTTTCTTATACTTGTAGCTTTTGACTTCCATACAGGATCTAGCTTTCTCATAAGAAATATGCAAATGCCTGACATTCACATGTATGTATTCTGCAGTTACACTGTATTGAAGCTCCATGTGTAGAACTTAAGCCATGCTCCAGGTTTGTTTATTTGTAGTGTTACATTTACTGTGATATTGATGTTGTATATACAGAATCTGGTATATTGTATATGTTCTGTGTTCTGAAGCCCAGTGTTTCTCATCTGGTGTGTCGTGACATTTTGAATTCAAATGAATTTATAACTTATTGTTAATAATATTCTACAAAGTGTGGTAAAAACAGTAAGACCTTGTTCAGCTGTTTTGTATTTCATTAGCGTATGTTGCCATTTCTTTCTAAGGCCATTGCTGCCTCATACTTTTATGTTTGTTGCATACTGTGCGTTTTCAGAATGGCAGTCTAAATTTTACATTTTATTTGGCCATCTTCAAATGTATTGTTTGTTCAAAAAATTCGGTTTTCAAATGTATTGTTTGTTCAAAAAATTTGGTTATCATCTTCGCATACTTTGACAACCGCCAGTTCTGTAATGTTACTTTTACAGGTACATAATTCTGAATAGTTATCTTATTGGGCAGCATGTAGTAAATCTGTACTGAAATTGTGGCCATATGGTTAAATTTCTTGGTGAACTGTGTTGTATTGTACAGAGCATTGTGTCAGTGGAAAGCTTGATAGTATGAAGGTGAATGTGAACATACTTTTTGCTGGCATACACACCCAACCTCTCAGTGACACATATTGATAGGCTGTTGGATTTAATATACCAGCCCAGCACACTAAGAAACTCTGGAATATGTTTGAATATGGTTTTATAAAATACCCATTTTTTCTCTTGTCTTTTTCCCATAGCAAAAAATTATATACAATTACTGTGAAATATGAAATTCATTATTCTATTTTTAATAAAAACAGGAAAGTTTCTTTGCTTTTAGTTCGGTATAATTGTTTTCTCAGGTTAGTGCTGAAACATATTGTTCACTATAAATCACTTATGGGAGATTTCACCATGTACACGTTTTAAATTTTGATATAATGTTCTTCAGTATGGATCAAAGCTAATAGAGTCCATGACACAAATGAAGAGTCTTGCTCCATATTTTTGTAAGAAATTCAACAGTGCATAAATGGTTCTGTCTTAAGTTCAATTTAGTATAGTTTATGAAGTTATACAACAATAAGTATATAAACTGTTTTTTAATGCTTCTTTAACTTGGAAAGGGCATGTATAAGAGGAATGAACCAATACAATGCTGTAGAAAGGTAGTCTGATCAAAATAAACACATAACCGTATACCATTATCATCTGTAAACATATATCTACACAGTGGATTTCTCTGCTGCTATGCAATTGTAGGCTACACTGGCTCCTTTTCTATCTCTTGTAATACAAAAATATGAAACTTGTTCACATGAAAGTTAAGGTTTTACTGTATTGAATTACATTGTTCAGGTCTTAAAAAGAATATATTTTTTCAATATTTTACAGTATCTTATATATTGAAATATTAAATAGTATTATTGCTGCTTTATCCTTTTGTTCATACTGGTATATTTGGAATGTAATAGGGGTAGTCCTTACTTACATTTGTCTATAAAATATGTGAATTTAAATGTAAACGTGTGATATTGGCTTTCATTTCAGTTTGACATGTAAAGGCTCTGTATGCTTCCATATTTCTTCCTTCAGTGTTATTTATTAAAGTGCAATGACTGATTTTCCCGAATCTTATCCTGTGAACTTTATGAAGGTGGAATTATTTTACTGTTTACTCTTTTATTATTTCACCAATGTTTTCAAGTTCCTTACTGCCCCTATCCAGGGGGAAACCACACAGCTTATTTCAGAAGGCTGTCACCTTCACATTGTGAGAACCTCAAATATCAGACTTAATCATGCACCAGAATACTGGTAAGGAAATCCTATGGATATGGCCATTTGGAAGACAAGTGATGAGAGGGTAACATGAACATTCACGGAATAAACTGACGGGATTCCACAAAATGATTGGCATTGGCAGCACTGAAACTGTCTTATAGCAAGGTTAACCTTGGACATACAATTATTTGGGTGTCATTATGCTGCAATTAGAAAAATATTTGTAAAGTCAATTTACGGGTTAACTCCTCGTTCGAATTCTTTAGAAAAATATTTGTAAAGTCAATTTACAGGATAACTCCTCGTTCGAATTCTCTTGTGCTCTGCAGTGCTGCAACGTTTGTTTAATCTTTTGGTTTATATTTTCCAACGTAATTAATAATCTTACGCACAAATAAAGACACTCCATGTTGCCGACAGTTTAATCTCTGCAATCTGGTGGTATTTATAAGTACTATCAATTGCAGCATAGCAGCGTTCATAGCTTCTCGAATGTAATGACAGCCATTTTGAAATTCGGTCTTGTATCCAGTTATTATCAGTATTGAAGAGGTATGGACAGTCCACGATATTGTTTTGAACATGTTCTTTCTCATACAAATAATCGATCAACTAGAAATCGAATGCTTGATGCGACAGCCAATCAACGTGCGGCGTTCTGCCCTTTCGCGGTGGGTTTTTGAACTATTTTTTATGACGTTTCATCACAATTATGATTACCGCCATTTTGAAATTACGACTTGTATCCAGTTATTATGAGTAGCAAAGAGGTATGCACAATATAAAATACTATTTTTAACATCATATTTCTCATACATACGAAATCGATTCATTCATAAATCGAACAGTTGGTAATAAATAGCCAATCAACATTAGTGTATAAGTATTTGATAAATTATAGCTTATGCTTTTGGATCTGTTACTGATGACTATAATGTATGTTTATTTTTATTATTATACAGTAGTATCAGTTTTTCTGGGAAAATGCTTACTTTCACTTTGTATTTTCATCCGGTTATTGGTATTTCCTTTGATTATAGGTGACCAATCATAGTGCTGTATTGAAATTTTGTTTCCGTTAACCACGGGTCACATATGTAAGAGGTACGTCATACAGGAAGTTCGTGTGACAATCAAACCCGTTGGTTGTAGTATGAACTGTACGTGGGAGTGGGAGAGACATTTGAGGTCAATTGCAAAATTGTCATGATTTGGAGTAACTAGATACCTAAGCTCGTAATTATCAGTCGCTTTGGTGTTAGGAATTTATAAACATTGTTCGTCAATAGCATGTGGAGTCCAACACACGTTCAAGTGACAGGTATGATAGCCTATGATTGGTTGATATTATCACTCTTGTAGGCGTACATTAGAATATAGGTTAATTGTCTCTCATTTTCTTCACATAAAGCAATACAAAAGAGTAATATTACGGTATTTGTAGTTGACACTGGTGTTAATATTGAATTGGTGTGTAGTGATGACAATGCTTGTTAAGAAACTGAAGAATAATTCTTTACTATTACTGTGCATATATCCAGCCGCATTTCACAACTGCTTCACATATATATTCTTGTGCTTATTTCATTTGAAATCATTAAATATTTATGTAAATAGCTGTAATAAATATGCAACTATAATTTTGTTTTGGTGTCATATTATGTGTTAATATTCATACTATGACATTTATGTAAATAGCTGTAATAAATATGAAACTATAATGTTCCACATAGTATGAAAAATCTATGGAATTTAAATAAATTATCATTTTTAAATATACATTCACAATACACATTGCACATGTGAAATGTGGCTGGATATATGGACAGTACAGATAAAGAATCCAGCTGAGCAATCCACATTTCTTTAAGGCAGACCACTTGCTTTCTTATCCTGACCAGTTTATTATTAATCATCCTGTACTACCAACATTGTCATTAAATAAATCATAAATAAAATAACAGAATATTGAATGGTTTGTTGTTGGTTAATTTTATGGTGATTTGTTGTAATGATTGAAGTGAATTAAATTTGAAATGACATGACCAGGGCTTAATAAATATCTTACACTCTTATTTCTTTCAGTCCAGAGAGCAAGGGGCTTGTTGACAAAAGGCAAACATGGTAAGTCACATTTATACTGAAGAAGATTCAGGTTAGTGCTTGAAATAATGATCAGGATATTACTATGTATGTGAGCCCATGCCTTGAGGGTCGGTAAAATTATTTAGGAAAGAACATGAAATAATTATATCTAAATCAAAGTGTCTGTCACAGGAACCAATGATGCATTTGTGACGATTGCACTTGGCAAAGAGAAGTATCAGACATCGGTGAAGGAAAAGGCATTGCAAGATGTGGATTGGCATGAGGAATGTGAACTGTAAGTAGTATTCATATTGTTTTTATGCTAGTTCGTGAAAAAGAAAAGTACTGTATGAGACTATTCATGATGTGTGTGTCCAAAATTAGTTTTTATCTGTTGCTTCATCTAGTGAAGTAGAACAGAATAATTAAGTGCTTCTTCCTGTTGTGATATATTTGAGCCTCTTTTATCCTTACAAACATAACTTTACCAACACAGTTCTTGCAAAATGTATCTATGCTTGCTCAGCCCAAGATAGGCATAGCATAAATTCTTTTAAAGCAACCTTACGCTTCACTGAATTCTGGTTTCTTATAGAGATATACAAATAAGTCCAAATGTGTGGGGGAAATATTTGTTTTAGCTTTGCTGGCACAGTTATATCCTTAAGAAGGGTAGCTGTCAGGAAAAAGGTCATAAGTGGTCACCATGTTCTAAAGAGATATACCATGGAAAACCTTGCCAAGCTTTGAAGAAATTGCACAAAAATATTATTTTCCTGATGTATTAAAAAAATAACCAAGAATTGTTATGGTGTACTCCAAAGAGTACATCTTACAAATCTTGTAAACAAACAAAAATAAACCTTGTTGTGCACTGAAATTGTACAAGTGTTCAATAACAGACAACAATGGTATTAAAGGCAACAATGATATTGAAGGACATTGTTGCAATAATGTGATCTAATGTTATTATTACAACAGTCAGCAGTGGCTCATGTTCACCTTGTTCTAACAGAGTGTTGCAACATTGACGTTTTTGCATTATTGAAAGAATGTATTACAATGATGACTTCAGTTTATACTTACAAATGTTCTCCAACAATTAACCTTAGTTCACGAGGTTGTCTAATTCCTAGGAAAGACACCACAGACATGGATGGGCCCATAACATGTTCTCTGCTCACAATACAGAGTGAAAAACAACCTTATATGTAAAATATGCTTTTGCACTCTTAATTAACACTTAGAAATATTGACAAGAATCATGTTGATGTGGGTTTATTCTGGAAGCCAGATTCTCACAGGCTGAGTGATTGTCGACTTAAAGCCAATTTTATTTTGTGCTGGGATTGCAGACAGATCCCAAAACAAGGCAATGTGGCTGAGATTGTGCTCACTGTCCTGCATCGTAATTTTATTGGAGTTGATGAGTTTCTGGGGGTTGTCAACATCCCCTTGGCCGATTTTGATGTGTATGAGCGACCTAGAAACAGGTGAGTGGCATGTTTACATCATAAAAGTACTTATTTATGATCAAGATGTATTCACTGATTGTGGGTAGATATGCTTGGCCTGACTTAGCTTTTGAACTTACAATTCAGTCTAAATTCTAGCACCATATTGAGAATGTTTGAAACTATACCATTATCATCCACTAATATTTCTGTCATAGTGGATCATCTAATTTCAGGTGGTATGACTTGAAGAGTAAGCCTGGGAAGGAGAAGAACAAGCCAAGGGGAGAATTGGAGGTGCGGGTTGCATTCTTGGTTAAAGCTGGTAGCCTGACAGATCTGAGCAATAAACCGCACCGGTCTTCCATGGGACATCTGTCACACATGGCTCATTCAGTGGGTAGGTATGAAGAGAGTGTGTAGTGTGACCCACTTTGTTGTCCACTGTTTGGTTTACAGATGCTAAATTCTGTTTCAGGTGGTAGTCTGCTCAGCATTGGCAGTCTAGAGAAAAGGAAAGGCTTGAAGAAACTGGCCAAGAATCTGGGTAAGTGTTGGAATGGCAATGGTATGTACAGTATTATTAAGATTGTTGTAAAATACTTTAAATTTTCAGATCTGTTATGAGAGATTGGCACATTCAGTGTACACTAATTCTGTTGACAACTAGTGGAGCTCACAGTAGTTGTATCTAATTACAGTTAAAAAAAGCAAGAAAAGTGACAAGGAAGTTTCTCTGGATGGCAACAGTGACTTTCGAACTTCTCGCCAAATGTCAGCTCAAGTTGCAGGTGACGCAGATCCTGGAGTTATCAGCGAGGGGGAGAGTGAGGATGATTTTACAGTGAGTAGAATTTTTGGGATAACGGAGACAAATCAGAAAATTTAACTCTTTCCATATGGAGAGCTAGAATTTTATCTGCATTTGTAAGTCCTTAATCAGGTCAAAATAAATTTCCCCCTGCAGATACTTTTAATTAATATGAATGTGTACTTCCTGATTGTAAGCTGATTATGTACTTGGAATATGTGAGGTTGAGAATTTTGGTTGCAGACTGATTTTCCTGACCATGTTTTTTTAGCTCCTGCTCTTATTTTATAAGGGAAAATATGGTATTATCATGTGTTTGTTTCCCACCCATAATTACTGTGAAGCCAGTAGACAAGCTACCACGAATCATGGTATGAACATTTTACTGTTTGTGAATATTGTTTCAATTTGGATGTGTTGGTTTTGATTTGAATTTAAAGTTGGTACAAAATCCAAAGCATTCATGGTGGCTAACTATAATGAAATCTTCTTTGATGGTCATTTGCTTTGATACAGAATTAAACTCGGTTTTGGAGATGATGTCTCTCTCAAAATATCGGGAGTTTCATGCTATGTCATTGTGGTGGATTGTCTAAGAAGGCTTCATTGCCATTATAGAAAATAATCAACTGTTGATCTCTGTTGCAGTTTGATGACCTTTCACACAAAAGTTCTGGCAGTTCAATCAACACAAATCAGACAAGTACAGTCACGCCAGTTGTAGGTTCACTTGAAAATCTGGCAGGTGGGGAAGTTCTGCGACGCACCTCCACAGCTCCAGTGCAATCACCAGTGCCTGTAAAGTCAACAGTGAACAGAACTGTAGATGAGTGGGAACGGAAGCTGTATGGGAAACAAGGGAAGGGTAAGATAGTATATGTTATGGGCTGCCTTGAGACTGTTGTTTGAAGAGAAATATTCAGGAAAAAGCAGTGAAAGCATCTGTTTTTTATGTAGGTTTTTTTAACAAACAACCATAAAATAATGGAATTGCTTATTTATTATCACAGTGTTGTTAGTGCATTTTGCTTTTATTTGAAATATGAGTTTAAGTTTGTGTAAAGTCCAGAGTTTTTGTGGTTACTAAATATAATGAAATGTGTTGTTTAGTCATGTAGATACAGTTTGAAACTGTTCTTGAGATAATTTCTGTCACCAAAATGTCCAGACTTTTCTTTCAAATCATTGTGGATGATTGTTCTTTCTAGTACGTTAACTGTTATCTGTTTTCACTTTATTCTTACTGAAGTAATTTAATAAAATTGGACATTATCAGTCTTTTCTGAAGTTTAATATCTTCTAAGGTAACAGACAGCCCATTGGAACTAAATAAATGACCACCTAAAAGGGGAATAATCACAATCTGAAACTTAAAATCTGTTATGTACACTTTGGGTAAACTTTACATTAAACTTTAAATCTGTAATGAATTTCTCAGATGTTAGCATGGACACATTGAAGCGCCGGTCATGGGACAAGGCCATTCTGAGCAGCCAACCAGAAGAGGAGGAACCAGAGACTGTTCCTACCCCTAAGGAAGCCAGTCCGCCACCTGCCATAACACTCAGTCCTGTCATGCAAGCTATGCCACAAACTTCAGCACCACAAACACCAGTGCCAACACCCCGCAAATTTGAGCCAGATGAACCAGAAAAGAAGGAAGATGAGAAAGAAAAAGTGAAGGAAGGTTCAAGACTTGCCAGAAAATTTAAACAGTTCCGCAAAGGTGAGAATTGTCAAAGTTTACTAACTAGTTACAAGCTTACTGTGCCATAACAAATTCTGGTAGTCACTTATTTTGTAATTTTTGCTTTATTTAGAAATTTAATTTGAAACATATTATTTGTGGGTAACTTTGGGCACTCACTACCAGTTATTGGCACTGACGTCTTTCTTGGAAGTTCTGATGATATTTTTCATATGTGTAAAATAAAAATTTTCTGTGTGAAACAAAAATTGTCTGTATGGTTCATCTGTCAGTCAACAAGATTCACATTGTTTATGAGGTCAAAGTAAAAATGTTGTGAATTTAATTTTGGGTGATGTTTATTTGTTAGAATATTATGGAATATGCACTGAATAAAACATTGCATAATATTTAAAAGATATTAAAGAGCTATTGTAATTTTTTAATGATGGGTTGTTTTTGTGAAGCTTAATGCAGTCAATTATGGATGTGAAGAACTCTTCTGAATACTGTTTCACTATTTTTTATTTGGTGGCAGTTGGCAAATAAAGTTTTCTGCAGAGTTATTATGCTTGTTTGAGTGACACGTAGACCATTAAGTTTCAAAGCAATTGAGTCTCGGTCCTGCGTAGGCTTGTAATTATTAAATATTTCATTTTTCTGTAGAGAGCAAGATGCCAGAAATTCCACAGACAGAAGAGAGAATCATCATTGGGGGTGAAAATGAAGGAACAGCTGTGCAATCACCACCCAGTAGACTTGCACCTGAAGTGCTACTTAAATTTGAAGGAAAGTCCAGGGAGGTGCGTTTAACCATTTAACCTTTCCACTGCTACATTAATAAGTGTTGCATTGACTTTCCAAGTGCTAAATTGTTTTCAAATGTCAGTTCACATTTTGGTCAGTGCATGTGTAATCCCCCATCACTTTTCATCAACCTGTTGTTTGTATCAAGATGTCCATGATACATATGCAATCTCTTCTATGTGAAGATATTTAAGATCTTTTAGAGTAAATAGTTTTGGATCTTCAAAGTAGTAAGTAGTGAAACTGGAACATCTTAAAAACAAGATTTCCGTCTTCTGGGTTGTTGCGCTGTGTAGTCTGGTCGATGTTAACCAACGTTTCAGAGGTCATACTGCATTCATCGCCATGATGACGGAGGCAGTATGACCTCTGAAACGTTGGTTAACATCGACCAGACTACACAGCGCAACAACCCAGAAGACGGAAATCTTGTTTTTAAGATGTTCCAGTTTCACTACTTACTACTTTGAAGATCCAAAACTATTTACTCTAAAAGATCTTAAATATCTTCACATAGAAGAGATTGCATATGTATCATGGACATCTTGATACAAACAACAGGTTGATGAAAAGTGATGGGGGATTACACATGCACTGACCAAAATGTGAACTGACATTTGAATCTGTATCTGAAAGGTGACAGAATTATGTTGAGTAAATACAGTCCACACAATACGGCTACAAAATATGAATTTTGTGTACTTAGTGTCAACAAAGGGGATCAAATAAGATTATTTAGTATATTTATGGCTGTTGCAGATGACAGAAAACAATTTTAACGTAATCCCACTGATATGGTATGATCATTCTTGCTCATTTTGCTGACACTTTTTATCTCTTCAGTCTCATTCAGACTTCACTGATGGAACTTTTTATTGATGATACCTTTCATATGTAAGCATGGAATGTTCTAAGGATATGCTTTTTCTTTAATTTCACAGCGGAAAGAAGAATGTGAGAATTACATTGTGAAGTGAATTGAAAGTGAAACCCAGTGTTAAATTAATCAGCATAGTTGGTTTTCCATTTAAAGTGTTTCAGGTAACATGTCATGACCATAACTTGTGATGTCAGTGTTGATCTTCTCTGTTCTAACATCATGTGGACTTCTAGGTGGGTACCAGTGTTGCTCTGAAACATTAGTATCTACCCACAAGTCCACTTGGTATTACAATCTCAAAGACCAGCATTGGCATTTTTACCATGGTCTGAACCTCAGGTCTCATGCCCAATTGTGATGTCTGTAGGACCTTATTGAGACGGTCTGCAGTCTGCAAGCATCGTTAGAACACCAGTCCAGGAAACTGAAGGATCTGGAGGACTACTTGGACAACCTGCTGTTACGTGTCATGGAGACAACACCTCGCATTCTGCAGAACCCTTATGTCAGCTGCAAGGCACAGGCTAATCTCAGGTAAGGTACCATAACTGGAATTCTTCATGGTTTTTATCTGGCCTTCTAGTCAGTTACCAGGAATGTTTTAAATAAGTTATGGCTGATCTTTGTCCCTGTTTGTTGTTTCATACTAACATGTGAGTGTAACTGAAGTTTGCTATATAGCCCTCCATTGTGTTAATGAGATACCAAGTTCAAACATGGACTCATAGGCTGAGTACTCTTGAGATTTCCCCTAGGTTTCCTCAGTTCCTGCAAGCAAATTCTGGCATAGATTGTATAATAGTCCCAGATTGCTTCCTTCCACAACTTGTGCAATTCATTATTCTTAATCATTCTGCATTTTCAGGCTATGCATGTGTAACCTTTACAGATGAAAAGGCATCAATAAGTAAACCAAGAACTTTGAATGGTCACTATTTAAAACAGATTTATTTTTGTCACAAGAGATTTATCACAGTCACTATAGAACTGAGCTTGACTCTAATCCAGTTCAATCCAGCATGTCCTTGTGATAATTTTATGGTTTAACTCTCATTTCATAGCTTGATATGTGATGAGTTCTGAGGAGCCGTCATGGCCTGTTTCAAGGCAGTGTGGCACAAAATACTCCATAGTTTAATTTAGTGGATTTTTATTAGGTTGAGGGAGTAAGGTCATCATCTCAGACTTCCTCTGATTCTTCATCAGGAGTAGTAATGTTGGATGTTGACATATATTTTCTTGTTTTGTTAGCCTTCATTTTCTTTTGTTGATCCTTGTTTCGAGAAATAAATGTATGAAACACATATTTTCTGCAGGAACATCCACATAAATATGGAATTTTCCAAACCTGAAAATACCCAAACTGAAGAAATTGCCATTCTGGTATCAGGCTTTTATGTTTGTTGGAGTTGCCAGGTTTTTCCAGTTATGAGACAGATGTTGGTGTGTGAAATATGTATTCTGTGACCATTTTTCATGTAATTGTTCTATAAACAGGCCATATTAAGCACAAAATTAGAAATCAATTTAGTCTTTTAGCAGCAGAGGAGCAGAAATGTCTGTAGTTGCTATTCAGGCTGTTATGTTTCTGTTGCATGAATGAAAATATACAAGGAGAAACAGTGCAGTTGACAATTCCTTCAGCAGACTGTGATTGCTTTGTCTGTGCTTTGAAGTGCCATTTCTGTGGTAAGTGCTTCAGTATTTATCAAACTGCAGTTAACAGTTATGTGGACTTTACATAATGCAAGTTAAAATATTAATTTAAATGTATTCAGAACATACATTATGCTTCTCTACTGTTTTATGTTGTGTACATCCAGCAGTGTCACCTAGCAAGCAATTTAGTAAATTAAATTGTCTGCATGAAATGTGTATTTAATTAATTTATGTAATTTAATATTTCTGATTTTATAAGTTAAAATTACTTGTCAGATTTTTAAACATCTTGTTTTTCACTGCGTTCATTGCCTTGTTTGTAAGAGCCTGCCACTGGTCCCTGTCCTCAGCCAGATGAACCTAGTCTACACCATCACACCCTGTTCCATTTGATTTCATCCTCCCATCTATGCCTAGGACTTCCCATTTGTCTCTTCCCATCAGGCTTCCAACCAAAATGTTGTATGTCCCCCATGCTTACTGCATTTCATATCTGAGAATTTAAGCGATTACTTTAAATTATGGTTAACATTGAATCAGATTGTTGTGTTGCAGCCACTGACTGGGGCTTTGGTGCACTCCGTCCAGCTGAGGTGATGTGCCTTGATGTAAACCAAGTAAAATACTAAAAGTTTGATTTTAATTGAGGCATAATATACTGTGCCAGAAGCAAACAAGATAGAAATGTTCTGTGAAATTATAGAATATGATAAAATGTACATGCCAGATGTAAAGCCATGAAGTGTTTGTCCCCACTACTGATCCCATGAGCAGAAGATGCTAATCACTGATGAAGCAGACCATGGGGCCTTTTGACAGAGCATATGCAGGAGACTGGATGTGATATTGTATTTTTCCATCACTAAAAATACATCATGTAATAATAATGCATTGGCTTGTATATTAAGAAATATAACTGGTAAACTGTAGCCAACTGTAAAAAGAAAGTTGAAGTTAGGAATGGAATACAAATTCTTTTAAACACTGCGTTGTGGATAACATTTAAAATAGGGACACTTGTAGGAATTTGGATTATAAGGGTTGTGTATGTGTGTTCTTCCTATTTGTATTTCCATTATATCAGCTTGTTAAACTAATTCATTCTGCTCATCAGGTCTGCAGATATAAGTAGACAGTATATGTTATTATGTTTGCATGCATATGCGTGATTGATTGTGCATGTGTAACTTAATAAATTTTTGAGCCTCAAATGGGATTTGTTGCTCATAATGTAAAAGAAATGTTAAGTTTTGAGCATTAAGCAGTGCGTACTGCTATGCGTTTTGTCAGTATTTTAATACATAGACAGGACAAAGGAACACATTTGTCATCAAATCATTACTCCCACATGTAAATATATTGTAATTTTATAAACATATTTGTTACAATTATGTAATGTTTACTTTGTAAAAGACTTTCACAGCTGATTGTGGTGCAACAGGCCCTGGAAATACATATCACACTGTAGACTCTTTCCAAAAAGACACTACAGTTTTAATGTATAAAACCCCTTTATACAATGTTCCCCATTTCTGTACACCTGTGCTAGGCAGTCATAATGCAAAAGTATGTCCAGCTTTGTTTCATTGGTTAGTAACAAGAAATATAGTTGCAAGTTTATATTGCATAACAGGTTCTGATTGGTCAGTACAGGTGTATTTCCCAAACTGTCTTCATGTTATCCAAAACACTGAATATTAGAATAAGGAAAGATGGGATAATTTCTAGGCAGGAACAAATAATGCACTGTTATGGAGACAGTTCTCTGCTTGCAGTCTTGATAAGAGTAATTATCGTATTTTATGACTTGCCTGTATGCTGATGGTAGATGATAATTTGGGCATCACACATTAGTAGGCCGGGGATCTCTCAGGAACCTGTGTGATTACCAAACCCTCCACCAGGCCTAAGACTGTAGAAAACTTGGGATTTTAAATCCCCATGCTTGCCTAAGTGCTGTTAATTTTAATGCCCTTTTGTATGCTGTATTTGAAGGGCTCATCTAAAACCAGGGTCTGGCAGGATTAAGAAGTGTGTTAGTGGAAATGGCAAGGGGTTAAACATTAATTTGAATCCATTGTCTTCCTTGAAGTTGAAGTATGATATTTTTGTACATCCTGTAGCAACATTAGTTATAGTCTAATGGAAACCAGTTGCAATTCAAGAACTAGTGCTCTTTGCAATATAGGGATTCTCCAGTGTTTCTCAACCAGCATACTGCTGTGTGAGTCATGAGTATGTTATGACATTTTTAATTTCAATTTTGTTATACACAAATAAGACTAGTTCACACACAGTATACTAATAGTCATGAGAATTGCTCACCCCTGTTTTGTTATCTCATTAGCCCATGTTGCTGTTTATTGTATTGCTGCTTTCACATTTTTTAATGTTCCCATGTATTATATACTGCTTTTCCAGATTATCCATTTTAATCTTAATATTTTATCAGTCATTTATTACTTGTTCCTACAATTTTTCATGTGAACCATAATATAAATATACATAAATGTAAAGTGTAACAATATGAAGAATTACATGAAGGTAATTTATGGATATACACAGACAACTTGACAGTACTGATCAGTTTGGTGTGCTGTAAGGTAATTAAGTATACTGTATTTTAATGTCACACCACATGGAATAGGTTGAGAAATACTGGTCTTTATAATTTTGTATTTTCAATGTGTGTTTTATATGGGCAGAGAGAGTAGCTGTATTATATGCATAGTAAAATGTTGACATTATGTGTACTTCATTATACCAAACCATTTCCTGTGTTCTGCACTTAGATAGGTCCATCCAGTGTCATATCACAATGAGTTTCAGTAATATATGCCTTGAATTACTTTCTCTATGTGTGCATTAGTACCCTCACTATGAATGCCACTTTGCTTAATTGTAGTATTGTGGAGTTTGTTAATATGAATTTATGTTTATTTTTCTGATTGTTTGATAATGTTAAAGCAGATCACCATTCTCATTTCTTGTCAAGTTGGTTCCAAATTGGTAACAAACATACATACATTCCATGGATCCAGAAGTTAGACTGGCTGTAGAATGTGAAATAAGTCATAAAGTACAGAATGTGCAGATTAGTACAGTTTAAAAAATTAATTTGGTTTAAAAAACTATAAAAAGTTTAACAAGAATATGAAAATGTTAAACTAAATCCAATCCTCCTTAAATTATTTTTGTCTTCACACCAGTTAAATATTCTTGTTCTTTTCTTTGTTTTAAAGTCATCTCTTATGAAGATGGGTATGTGAAAATTTCAGAGGGAGAGACACCTGCAGAACATATGTTGTTAAAAGAATAATGGTGACATGATCTTTGGGAAATTGGTATCAGACCATACTGCACAATGCACCACATGACATAATCAAATTTGTAAAATTAACTGCTCCAGTGTTAATTGGGGCGTGACAGTAAGTTGGACAGTAGTTAACATTACCGACCGAACTCTTGTCAATGCTACACTAGTTTAAAACCAGTTATGGGTAGATGTCACGGCTTTATAAATGTGTGACGTCATGCGAAATGTATGGTGGTATAAAGTGTGTAGGTTATTTATGTTAGCAATTTCTTGTCAAAACAAATATGGATATTTAAGTATTGAATAATTGGTGGTGGTGGTTGTGTTAAGGGATTTTCGATTAATTATAAACTTCTTTTCCTGGCCCGAGTATGCAACTCCTACAGCCCAATGACAAATGAAAAATCCCTAGAAATATTTCAACCTATACAGAATCAACTGGATATACTTCATAAGAACTACGGATCAACGGGTACGAAAACTACAAAATTTCTTTAAGCCCATTCCAATATCAGCATCGCAACCGACTATATATTTTTAAAATTAGAAGTATTTTTCTTCCTTAAATTCTGCATTGTACGAAGCCAAGAGTGTAGAATACGTCACTTGTACGTTGTGTTGCAATTTGCGCAATTTTCGAATTTATGTGGAATGTTTCAGTAATTTATTCAGTAGTCGAATATGAAATTGCTAAGTTTATGTCTCATTTTAATTTTTATTGCTTTTATGAAATTACATTGTTATGACTTTATTTGCCGATTTTCAAAATGTAATTTGAATGAGGCGAATGTTTAAAACATGGAACTTTATGAGACGGAAAGGTTTGTGGTACATTCTTATTGGCATCTTAACATATGTTCATTTCGTGATTTGCGACAAATAAAATGAATTGTTTAAATTGAATGCGCATTATTTGTATGTTCTAATATATTGGAATTCAGAGAAATGTGCTTTTGGAATTTGTAGGTTATGTAGGCCTAGTTCTAGGACGCAGCACAGTAAGAAGGCATGTGTTAAAGTAGTGCTATTTATAATCTTCAGTTTCAAGCGACGGGAGTCATACTGGAGTAATTGTACGTGGATTTTGAATATACTGCAGCCTTTAGTGCACTGAACACGTGATTTCATTTTGTATTATCTGTACTTTGAAACCTTGTCGTTCATAAACAAGTAGGTCTACTTTTGCAATTTATTTGAAGATCATCTAGGTAACTGTGGTATGATATTGTGCATAACATACGTTATGACAGCAGTGATTTAATTGTAAAGGTTACTTTAAACAAAGAAGTGTGTGATTACTTTTATATTATAATATTTAGCACCATTACACAACTTACCAATGACATTGCAAAACAGGTAAGGGATACCAATGTCTGTCTTGATTATAGTGGATGTCAGTTGTATTTACTCTACAAAAATGAGGAAAGTGTGTTATTTGAGCCCTGTTAAATTACACTAAGCCACTTAGTCCTACTTAACATAACCAGAAGTAACTAGAAGGTTTACCATGAGAGACAGTCATCACTCAGGAATGTGGCATAGTGAGAAATCCAAAGTATGTTTTACATTTAAACAGTAAAATGTTTATGACCTGTGATAGTATTTGTAAACATGTTGTAATAGAGGGTGTGTGAAATGCTGTAAGAGTAACATTAAAAAGTTATATAAACTTGTTTCAGGTGCCCTATATGCTTAGTTGTGTGAGCCCACATCTCTTTGAACTGCTCAAAAACCTGTTTTGTCCTGTTCATGACACAACAATGGAAGGTCTGCACAACCTGCAGCCATATCCAGTGCTCAGGATGAAGTGTTCCATGTCACGTGATACTGACATTTCACATGAACGAATTGCTTTAGATGGTGATTTTCTAAGGTACCTGCACAGAATCATGTTTTTCTGTACAAGTACAGTACAGGCTGTGTGGTACGTGCAATGTCTTTTGTTACTGGTACAACTGTCAGCCAGGAGAAGTTGTAAATTAATTATGCATGAGGTAAACTGCAGGAACCTCAAAACTGTCACTCTGTTCCTTGTTTGGTTATATTTATTTAACAGCATTATTGACACCCTTGTTAATGTTTTACAGAATCACTGATTTCAAACTAACTTGCTTTCAGTAATCTTTCCCCCTTCTTTTTTGCTTTTGCTTGTGCTTGAATCTAGGATGATTCATAAATTGCTAATGAACTGGATTTAAATTTTGAAAAGTTATAATAATTTATCTAAACAGCTTGATGGAATGTCTCATGTAAAGGGATTTTTATAATTCCTATATATTTGTATTGTTTTGTTCTTATAGTTATGCCCCTAATGAAGATGACAGGGTGGGTGTGTACATTGCAGCACATCCACTAACCCCTGATATGTGCTATTATGAGGCTGAGATTATAGACACTGGTACAGATGGAAGCATCTCAGTTGGGTTATGTTCAAAGCGATGTCCACTAGATGCGCATATTGGTTGTGCAACTGAATCTATTGGATTTATGACAGAATGTGGGAGGTATGTTGAAGCTTAATCATGTATAAAGGCATAGATTTTGTCCTAAAGAAATTCAGAACAGCAAGGAACAGTTAGAAAGTTATATAAAATTATGCATACAAACAAAAACTGTTTACACTTTGAAAAGACAGTTAGTGCCAAATGCGTTTTGACCTCCAGAGGTCATCATCAGTGGCAAACAAATAAATTCATATTAAATCATACAATTCATAAGACAATGGTTTGTTATAAAGCACTCAAACCTTGTTTCTTTAGGGTCCATTTTAATATCAATGTCAAGGTTTGAATTTTTCCTTTTCACCTGTTAGTCCCCATTTCTGGATATCAGGATAATATATTTGGGCAAAGTTCTAGACCCAAGCTAATTCAGGATGTGTGAAGTGGTTATTGAAAATTAAAGAGATTAAAGTTAACTGGAATTTTTGTGTGCTGCTTATAGTACTTTGTAACTATCACATTTGTCATTCATTTTATTGCCATTTTTATTAATGTCTAGTAAAAAGCATTGTGAAAAGTGTGTTTTTACTGTTGCAGACTTTATAAGGAGGGAAGCAGGGGAACACAGTTGTGCATACGATGTGATTGTGGGGACAGAATCGGTTGTGGAATTAAGTTTGATCAGGTTTTAGAAGGAAGAGGAGACCCATTTTGTACGATGGTTCCAGTATACTTTGCCCGAAATGGGAAAGAAGTAAGTACTGAGAAACGGTAGAAGTGTTTTAGCTTATTTGAAGGTATTGTAAGATTTGTGACCAGTTTGTAACACAGAAACTATAAATAGCAGTACATCCACAGTCTCTTATAGTAGCAGGTACTAGAGTAGAAGTTGTAAGAGTAAATGAAATGTGACCTTATTGAATATTTATAATTTATTTGTATACAGACTGTCTGCTTTGATTTCATCAGTGAATAGTATTTTGAATTGACTTATGCTTTCTGACATCCTATGTTCTTGTCAGTATATGACATTCAGGTATAATATTATTATTTTGTGGAGGCCACTGAGTTTTGGCTGCACTGCAAACTTGATCAAGTCCATTGTCACAAATGTATCTTGTGTGGGTGAGTTTGTTGACAGCTGCATTCAGGAGTGGTGAAATGTGGAGAGTTTAGTGTTTTGATATTCTTAAGGATAAAAGCATCTGTTCTTACTTACTGCTTATAATAGTAAACTGCAAGGCAAAATTATGTACAGCCAAACAAGATAGGTAATGTATGATCTAAAGCTTTTGGCAACTGTCATTAATAAAGTCTTCTTATGCTGTCAGTCATGTCAGTTGGTTAAAAATCGGTGATGTTTCAGGCACCAGCTTTATTCTCATTATCAGGGCTATGATGTAACTGTATATCCAAGCTGAACTAGGCAGTGGGTGGGATTAGTGGGCAGAGTGAAGTGCTTGCTTAACTTGGCTGTGTGTGTTTCCAGATTGGTGTATCTGTGTATTGAGCATGTTAGTCACCAGGTATCAGGACTGAGTCAAAATAAAGTCTCCATCCATGTTAAAGTTTTTGGTATGGAGCCGGATCTCAATAGCCTCTCTTGTCTTGTGGTCTTATCCAAGATGGAAATGCTTCTGAAATTGATGTTTTGTTTTGTTTCGTTTCATATCTGTGTTTCACCATGGTAGACTTCACTGTGAGTGCAACAAAGTTTGTGTTGGGATAGACTGGCAGATTTATCAAAACCATATGTAGAGAACACATAAGATACATTCATCTGGGCCAGCCAGAAAAGTCTAGGGTTGTGTGCTGTATAATCTTATAGGCAGTTATCACCAGTTAAAATTAACATTGGCAACTACATGCAAGATACATGGCTTCACAATCCAGAAGGCCATAATCGACTATATATATTGCTGGTGACCACTCATAAATTATTTACCACTGTGATAACTTTATGCATTAAATTGTTTCCAAGCAGCAAATCAGCATTGGGCTTAGGCCATTTTGTGCTTTATAAAATTGTTATGGTCACTTGACAGTCTCATTAATAATGATAAAGAACAAAGGATCTTATGTATATATCTTTATAAAAGGCTGTTTGAACCTCTTTTCTTTTCTCTGTGAACGTAATTTCCTGTTGTAATTTAATAGTTTTGATATTACAGTTGGTCACCGAACTAGTGTCGCTACCTAGTGGAGGCCTCTACCCTGCAGTAGGAATGGATTCAGTAGGAGGGGAGGTGAAACTATTCTTGGGTTTGAATTGGGTACCTGAAGAGGACAGTCTTATGTCTGTTGACACCAATGAAGAGGAATGGTATCGCCTCAGTGACATTCAGCTCAATGGACAGGTTTGTTGTCAAATGCTTTAAAGGTTGTAGCTCATGTAAATTTTTCTTGTAGTACAGGATCCACTTTCTGTAACACTAAAGATTGAGAAACATATAAAACAATAGTTTGTGCCACTTATTTCGCATGGTTGTGAAATTTGGTTTTGTACTTAGAGGAAAAAAATTAAAATTACAAGTGTTTTAAATCAGACTGCTTAGCAAATTTTCAGTGTAGAATATTATAAAACAGCTACTACCAAAATTCAAGCAATTGCAAACAGAGCAACATTTTATTCTTATGATACTGAAATTTATGAGGCTGCAATTGGCTGGATATGTATCTTTGGTGAAAGGTGATGAGGGGACAAGGAATACATTCAGAATATTGGTGGGGAAACATCTTGGAAAACCAAGAAGAAGATGGAAGGATATCATTAAGATGGATTTTTGGGAAACAGATTGTGAGAATTGGTAGTGGGTGAAAATAGGCTAGGATCATGTTCAGTGCTAGGTTGTGGTATTAGCAGAGCTGAAATTAGCTTCATTACCAGAGTGTTGGTTGAATAGTGGGTTTATGCAAATATTTCTTGTTTATCATTAAAACTGAATTTATAGAAACTTGCCTTTATTTTTCTGTTTTAGGTGCTGGAGTATACAGGTAGAGGAAAGAGCATAAAAGACGTAGGACTGGCACAGGCAAGGTCACCACTTAACACAACAGTTCATTATTTTGAAATAGAAATTGTGGATCCCGGAGAGAGCTGCTACATAGCCATTGGCCTCACTAGGAGAGTACGTACATATGGTTTAAAACGTAGTAGCATCAGCACTCTGTATCACTAGGTTTCTTGATACTTTTAACCGTAACATTTGAGAAAATATCTTTAAATAAATTAAGAAACAATCATATACACCAAAAATATACATTGAATGATGTACAATGAAATCAGTTTTGATTTACGTTGGTCCAATATAATCTGTACTTTTTATTAAGCTCACCTTTATCGATTTTCTAAAAAAATGGTTTTCTGTTTAAAGAAATTGGTACATGGCATGAATTAAAGATAACATTATTACATATAGCTTTCATTTGAAATACTTTTAAATGGTGAATATTTAATGAAATACAAGGCATTCTATTCATTGTGATATCTATTGCAATTAGCTTAGCAATAAAATAGAAAGAAAAAACAAAAGGTTTTGACATGTGATAAATAAATATATATATTGAGGTTACTGTGATATGAAAAATCATAAGGAACAAATGGAAAATATGTGTACTCAAAACTGGAGCACACCTTTGGTCCTATAGCCTATACAGTGGTCACTGAGTGTTGGGTCAACAACACATGCATTGTAGATACTGTAATGGGATCTCTGCTAATTCCTTTCAGTTGTTCTTTTTTATATTCTCGCTGTGTTGTGCTGAGCTTGTCAATTCTGGTGTCCTTACAGGACTACCCCAAGCACAGGCATCCTGGCTGGAGCAAGGGATCTATAGGTTACCATGCCGATGATGGCAAGATCTTCATTGGCAGTGGCGTAGGTGATCCATTTGGACCACGCTGTCATAAAGGAGACAGAATGGGCTGTGGAATACTGTTCCCTAGAGATTATGTGTGCCAATATGACAGGTGAATGCTGTCATCATTACAAACATCAGTTCCAAAGTTTATTGATCAAAATCAGAATTACATGCATAAAAACATAGTGTACCACTGAGAATTCTATGTATTTCAGTTCTGTCATTCATACAGCCTGTAGTGAGAAGCTGTAGTTTCTCAGATGGTCAAAAGATTTTCAAGGTTACATGCAGTGCATATTTATAAATTTGATTATTACTGACTGAAGTGTGTCAGGTGAATAATGCTCTTGTGTTGCCTACAGTACCTCTTCATATGCATGTTCCTTGACATATAACAGAAGGAGCATCAGCTAGGTGAATTGTTGTATCAAGTTATTCAAATGTTTCAGCAGTGTAAAATTTAGATTATCCACAATTCATATTTTATAGAATTTTAAATGTAAATGGTGATACGCAAGTTGAAGCAAATGAGAAGAATGTTATACTAAAATGTTGCAGTGATGGTGGCTCTGGAGAGGTCAGCTCCTCTCCAACCGGAATGGACAACCTGCTAGAGTTAACTCTTGACACAAGTGACAGCGAGGATGAAGACTGGTGGAACAGTCAATGTGGGATTGAACACAGTAGCAAAATGAAGGCATGTACAGTAACAGAGTTCATAATATAAGAACTGGAACTCATGTACTAGTATATTACCCATCAAGAATGACAGGAAAATCTGAAGTAGTACTTAAACATATATTTTTATTAAAAAGCTTAAAGCGAAGCAGCTGCATATGAAAATTAAAATTATTAAGTTGCTTATTATAGCTCATCACAAAACAGGAACCTGATCATTATCATTATGTGATTTTATGGCTTCTGTTTTTTATGTTTGAGATTTGAGGTTCTTATGGTAGTGAAGTGTTGGTCTTTTGGGTTGTAATTCCATTTGGACTTGTAGGCAGATAATAATATTTGAGAGTAATATACTGCCTTTATCTTCAGGGCAATGGAGACACTATTCCTTAGAACATTGGTGTCTACCTACAATTTGACACAGTGTTTGGCAGGAGAAACTGTCTCCATCTTCAGGCTAATGGAGGCAATATTTTCCTTCAAAACACTGGGAACTGTTTATAAGTCCACACTCTACACAGTATTACAACTTGTATGATTGGCATTGACACTTTCTTATGTTTGTGTGCAGTATACTTAGTTTTGTTAGAGTCAAATTTTGCTGTCCATTTTTCATTAATTTTGTACATTTTATGCAAATAATGTATAAAAGTTATGTTGCAAATTAGCTTATTCATCTAATTTTGTACATTTTATGCAAATAATGCAAATTAGCTTATTCATATATTTGAAGGTTTTCTTCACAAGAAATGGCAAGATGGTGGGCGCACGACAAGTCTGCATCCCGAAGGGCGGCTTCTTCCCAACAATAGGAATGTTGAGTATGCAGGAGAAGGTACGAGTTGACCTGCGACCCCTTACAGGCTGAGATGATATGTAACATTTTGATACTCTTTTGTATAAATGACTTTTATGGGCAATTAACATTGCTATTTTTTCACTATTTATATCAACCCTGTCTTTGAAGGAAGAAATGTTTATTATGATTTAAGGTTCTCATAGTGGTGGATATGAAGATGGCTCTCATCTGGGTTATAGCACCATGTAATCTGATAGACTACCTGGCATTACAACCCAGAAGATAGCTGTCTTAAGAAATTTTAACTGTCACAACCACAGAAGTAACCAGCTCAATGGATAGTCTGAGTGTCTACAATTTGAAAGCCATTTTTATCTTCGCCCAACCTGGCTCTTATACATAAACTCTCATCTTTTTTGTTTGGTTCCTTATTAAGTTATTTTGTGATACTGTTTCAACTGCTGAGCACATATGGCATGAAATGTGTAAGAAGATTGTTATGAATGGTGGTCATATTCTGTTTCAAGGTACTTCACAGCATTTCTCTAGTGGGACTGAGGAGAACCAAGTTAAACCTCAGTCAGGGTAGACTGAGATTTGAATTGTACAGACTAGAGGATTACCACTGAACTGATCTGATTGGTATTTTACAGTGTACACTGTGTAAAGGACTTTACATGCCTCAGAAGTTTGCACAGTCTCCATATTGATGATGTTAATGACAATGACCACCAGTGACAACATGTCCATTCTGAGTTCCATGAAAATCAGTTTGTTGGGTTGGACAGACACATGTGGACATAATGATATAAGCCTGTCAGTCCTGTTAATATGAGGACAATAGCTATATAGGAGTGTAATATCCTCTTTTAAGGATTAAGGGAAGTAGCCATGGGAAGCATTGAACACAGGTCTTTCATGCGTGAATTAGATAATATGGGAAAGGAGAGAGAGAACTTGCTGATTCCACAGACATTGACAGTAGCAGAGTGTTATATACAGTGCCAGTTTGCTTCACCTCTGATAAGTGTTTTGTATACCCAAATTTATTCATCTTTGTTTTGTGGAATTTTGTATATATATGGTTTTCATTCTTAAATTCATTACTTGTTTAGACAACACATACCTGCTTATATGCGGTTTGTTCTGTAGAAGGTGCTAAATTATAGAAAAATATAATTTTTTCAAGTTCAGAAATTAAAATTATGGATCAAGAATCTGAGGAAACCTCTGCTAATATCCCTACTGCCGCCAGTCTGCCTTGATGTCACCCCTTTACCTATTTCTTGTTAATCTCTTTGGTTACTTGAAGATTAAATTAAAATGTTTAAATTCTGTTTGGTACTTCTGTTAAGGCTAAGACAGTATCTCAGTTGTCTGTATCCTGTTTAAATTACAGAAGCTTGAAAACATTAAAATTAATAGATAAGATATATAGTAAAAAAAAAAAAATTAACTGTTAAAGATGTCTTGAAACGGCACTTTACCTTAACTTGAATCCGCATATAAATGGCAGCATGTCCTCAGTGTCTTGGCAGTGTGATATTGCCATTTGGACAGGGCGGCAGACCACATCTTGAAGGTAATACTAGTTTACAGTGGGTTAAATATGGACCATATAGTGTATTAATATGTAAAGTATGGCATTCGTATTGGACATGTCGCAAAATGTTGGTCTGCATAGCACTTCTGAGTTTAATGGTGTTAATCAGGAAGGTGTAAGTAAAAGTTTGTCCTTTCAGTCCCACAGACTGAAATGTATCACAGTGCAATAATATCATTTCATGCAGTGCATCTCAGCTCTATGCAGCCTAGTTGAGGTGTTCTGTAGTGTTTCCTACATGGTGCTAAGTTTGTATATTAATGTACTGTATATATATGTATATATATATTAATTATACTTTTTCATGGTAATTTCATTGCAAATAAACTATCCACCATGAACACTTGCATCACATATTCTGTTGATGACCTAAAAGTAAAATGAAATATTGAAAATAATGCGTGAAGCCTTTCACTGTTGCGGAAGAAAAATATATCAGATATATCAGCCATTTATTATCCAGTTACCAAAATTTAGGTGGTCATGCAATATTTCTCCTTCACTGACTTCTTGTGTTACTCCTTTTTCTCTCTCCATCATCATTTTTCCTTTTTGTTTCTTTTCATCATGACAAGTAGTCATTTCTTTTAAATGTTTTTATTATAAATCAGCATTCCCAACTGAATGTTTTTTGTTGTAAGATATTTTGTACTTTCCACAGATCACAGAATGAACTTGACCACTAATCTCCTCTTCAGAGCCAGTGATCCATGGAGCCTTACCTATCTATCCTGTTTAAACCTCCATTAGTTGCTCTTGCCATCTTATTCCTGTGGAAGTTTGGAAATAATGTGGAAAAGTGCATGAAGTACCAGCTGTGACTGGAAAGACCTGGTAAGTTGCCAATGCAAAATACAACTACATATCTGAAACAAAGTAATGTGATCTCAGATGTTAATAAAATACTGGCCAGCAAAAATTTAATATTATGTTTGTTGTATATGCCAGTATGTTGAAAGATAGTGTAGACCTAAACTTAAATGCTACACTACTGGTACCATGTTTAAGAAAAAGAATAAATGCACACAAAATATTAGTGGCAAACATTTTGACAAAAGCTTACTTGGAATAACTGAGGTGTAGCTTAGATGTTATGTTCCCAAAACCAGTGCTGTCAAAATTTCTGCTATGCAAATTGTTGTTAACCATCCTAACACTTGTTTTCACCCGGTGCCCTAGTGACATCTCTTCGGGAGTTAATTTCCTAGTACTTTGATGCCTCAAGTACTGTGTGGGGACATAGTATTATTTTCACATATTGGTTGTGATTCTCAAGTTACTTGTTTTAAGATGATATAATGCAAAATAACCTCTTTTCTGAAATATGGTAATAACATAAAATCAGTAATTGTAATCAGTGTAATGTTAAGGAAATAGGTTTTGGGCTTGATGTGGGTGGCTGATAATTGGATCCAGTAATAATTTCATGCTGTTGCAATACATTTTAAATGCAGAACACCAGAAAATCAACTGAGAAATCTGTATGTTGTCTGAAAATATTCATGAAGTGCAATAGTTTTCATAGTAGTGTAATTTATTTGGTCCAAATAAGTTTGAGAAATTAGATACAAGAATTGTTTATTGTGATATGAATATCTTGAGCAGCGTGTCCTGGGAGACCTCCTGACTACTGTATTGTGACTAGACTCTCACATGACTAATGTACAGTAAAATATCAGAACTGCTCACAAAGTCCTGTTTCATCTTTATAACCTCTTGCCTGGGTGGAGTTCAAAGACATCAGGCCCTCACACATTTTTATGTTTCTGTTACATTTTCAGTCTGAAGCAACACAAAGCAATAGTATATTGAGAAGATGGAAATTAATTGACAAGTCTTAGTTATACTTCAGGACTGTCCAACTTGAAAACATTTATAGGTTGTATATGTATCTTGATGGCCACATCATAAAAATCAAAATGTTTGCATCCATCTAAACAATAACAGTGCCAAACCTTCAATAAAGTATGAAGCATAAGCACAAAGATGAATTTGAATTTAATTCTAATATTCCTAATGAAAAGAATTGGAGAAAATGTAGACTCCTGTTTTGTGTTCATTGATCTTGAAAATGGAAAGTTTGTGAGAATGAATGTCTGCTTCTGAATCAGGAACAATTTATATGGAGTGTGCAGAAAATGTTACTCTCAAACGTATTCTTATAAATTTGTGTAGTGGCCTTAAGCATTAACTAAACTGAGGAGTTCTGTACATTTGTGACAGAACAGAACAAAGAAGTTCAGGTGTTTTAACCCTCCTTGAAACAGGACAGCCGCAAAGCAGATACATTTAAATTAAGATTAATTAGCAACACCATGAATGTACAGTTGCCTGATAATATTGTATCACTTGGCAGTGTGAGCTGTTTTGACACAGAGTAACATAGAAAAGAACAAATTTACAGTACAGTGTTCAGGTAGGTAACTCTCTTTATCATCTGACCACATGATACCACCTACCATTATAGCTAACCATCTAACCCCAGAATCCATCTTGAGAAGCTGATCAAGAAATTCCTCTTGCCTCTTATGGAACCCAGAGGTTCATTACCATGTTCACAAGAGCCTGCTATCAGTCCCTGTTCAGAGCCAGAATAATCCAACCAATTTTCTTAAGATTCATTTTAGTATTCTTCTCCCATATATGTCTAGGTTTTCCAAGTAATCTCTTCCCTTCATCACCTGTCACTATACTTGTTACAAAATTTGTATTTTATTTGGTTTTCTAGACCACATTTAGTTGACACAGAAAGTAATTTTTCCCATTTCATTAACAATGACCAAGTGATTAGCTTCAGATGCATATGTTGTCATATTCTGCAGTAGTAATTACCGCTAAAGTACAATATACGTATGTTATCAGGTCAGAATTATCAGCGTGGATTCTGCATCCTACTAGGTTTCTGTAGGTGTTCGGCTCAAAACATAACCTTCAATATAAAATTGGAGTAAAACAGGATTAATAATAAAATCTTTAAATAATACAGAATTTCCAATTTTCTGGGACAACAAGATGGTTCTCAAAAAGGAGGCAAAAATCTAATAAAAAGTAGGATATATGGTTACCCTACACTATGTACATCTGCTTGTTCCAAAGCTATTATGTTATGTCTGATAACTTTTACTACAGACACAAACATGTAAATATTTTTAGTGTATTTGTTTTACAGTATTATACTTGCATACACGAGTTGTTTCCTGTTTGTGCCTGCAACTGTTTCATAAAAAAAAATCAGTATTCCAGAGTGAATGACACACTTTAAATCAAGAAATTGTGGTACATATGTAGCCATGCTAGTGATTTCAAATATTAAATTAATAATTGCCATTTTCAGTATTTTAAGGGTGTTCTTCCCAAAGTCACAAGAGTAACCCTTCCCACCCATTTCTCACTCTGAATATGAGCACTTTTCATTCCAGATAAAAAGCACAGGTTTTTAAGTATCTGTAAAATCAGTTTAAGCTTGTGAAATATTGATATCCAGTAGAAACATCAGTAGTTATTTATCTTTTCTGTAAATGGAAATAACATCTAAAATACTTTTCCAGTCAACACCTGTTGAACTCCTTCCCATTTGTCACAATAAGCATCCACTGCATTAATCACATAATGTGTCACAATATTTGAGCAAATCTGAAAAATTGCAGAGCTGCCATTATTATTGCAATGGAAGTGAGCTTACTGATCCTGCATGCATACTGAATACTATAACACAGAAATATTTAATTCTGTAATTACATCTTGTATCTCATAACAGAACAAGTCTTTGATTCTCATATTCCCTGTGTCTGTGTGTCCTCTGCCTAACAATAAACAGGTCAGATACACTAGAGTGAACTGTAGGCAGAGTTGGTATGACTGCTACAATGAAATTTGTTTGATATTTTTATACAATATTTAAATAAATCACATTATTTATAACAAAATTATATCTGAACTGAGACCTCTTCTCATGTTGCTCTCTCAGGTTTCAGTATATTTCCAGACTCTCACCGTGTATTTTTCACTCAAAAAGAAGACAAAGTTTCTCCCCTTGTGTCATAGTATGACAAGTAGGAAGATTCACCCTCATTCATGCACATGTGTTCTGTACACTGACACAATTTTACCATAAGCAGTGACTTAGGCCTTGATTAACTGACCTCATTCAACAGAGTCCATCTTGAGAAGCTGATAGTCATTATTCCAATATTATCTTTCCATCTATGCCTAGGTCTCCCAAGTTTTCTGACTAAAATTGTACATGCATTAATTATTTCCACAACCATGCTACATGTCCCACCCATCTAATCCTCCATCATTTGATAACCATAAATCTGGCAAAGATAAAACTTAGGCCTTGATATAACATTTATATTATTCTATACATTGTCTGAATGAGCAATTACTTAAAAAAAATTGTGTTTTAAATGGCTGCATGTTGTAACTTCTGGAATGTTTCAAGAAATTGTAAAATTACTGACCAAAATGTGCATCTGCTAGGGGACAGTATTTTGAAGGCAGCTGAATATAAGGGAAGAATCCCTTATATTCAGCTGACCGGATTTGAGAAAATGTTTCTGCCTGGAACTTCATGAATATGTCATTTAGTAATGTCTAAGGATTAATGGATTGATAATGCTTTCTTTGCTACACATACTATTTAGCACTGAATGATTAGTGTGGAAACTGAACTGGGATAATTATGGCAGAAAGCAGTCATGGCTTATTTAGAGATACTGTATTATTCAGACATTTGACCAGAGGCACTAACAAAAACCATAAAGAATTCCAGAATTTCCAGTTTTGAGCTGAGATTCAAACCTAGAACATTTAAAAGGTGATTCCTGTAGTGCCAACAGCCTAGGACGATGTGCACTGAGAGAAGCTAGAGAGAGGTCAACAGTAACTAATGCGTGACAATGAAATCACACTGCATGTGTAGCTGATACAAGGCGTGGATGTCACTGCACTTGGTGTTCCACATTTTGATATAATGTTGTAACGTTTTCACATACATAATTCATTTCACAAAAGGAAGATAAAACGAGTTTCTCACAAACTATGTTGTTACAAATCAATGTTATAGTTCTTTAAAAATTGGAAATACAACCACAGATGCCACCATTGTTGCTGTTCTACGAATAATAATGCAAGTGAAAAACTAAAAACAAAAACATTTAAACTTGTTATTCAATACTCTTGAGAGCATCAGGTTAAATATTAAGGATCTAACAGAACACATGCTTTAAACATAAGACCATGGAAAGTTCTGTCCATACTACTGATTTTATTAGCAGATGATTGAGTGGAGACAGCATTGAACTTACGTTAGAACGATGTACTCCAATTGAGTATGCTTATTAACCACATGCAATCATTGTGTACTTGCAGTACTATGCTGCTGTTGTTTATTTATTGCAGTTACAAGTTATTTTCTTCATATATTTTTTGTATTATCCATTATATGCTGAAATTTTATGGCAGAAATTCACATTATTAGAGCAACATACAATTCTGTTGGTAACAAACTTTGTTGTATTTCATAAATGTTCACTGTATTGGAAAATGTTTCAAGTAAAAGTTTCAGATCTTAATGATAAGTCATGTCAGTGGTGAATTCTCTGGTATGGTTAGTAGTGTGCCACCAGACCACTAAAATTGCAGGAATATAAAATAAACGTTTTGCTACATAACACAATAGTGGCATAATAATAATAACAATTTATCGAATTTATTCATGTGCTTGACAACAGCCAAACAAGGCCAATTACATCCAAGAACCAAAACAACAGTACAATAAAAATAATATAATTTATAAATGACATAAAGATAATAATAATATTGTTATTATTCTTAATATACCTTAGCATTGTGGCTTGATTGTTGGAGAATTTAATAACATTGCATTTCTGCATGACCTGACTTCTATACCAGGTTTTACCACTGTTTCATGTACTAATTCTGTATATGATAAACCTTTATGTAAGATATGAAATTCAGTTTGGGTTCTATATTATGCACGGACTGTAATGGACAAGCATTAAACCAAAATTACATTTTTCCAACAGTTGTAAGTGTGAAACCCCAGCTGAATTATATACAAATCTACCAAGTACTTTCAGAGATAAAACAATGAAATGGACACAGATGCATTTTGTTGAGTTGGTATGGCATAAATATTGAAGGCAGATGTAGCTCCTTGCCTAAGCACCAAGCCACAAAGCTCCATGCATTGAAGAAGTAAGTGGGTAATTACTTCCATGCTGTATTCCTGGTAAAGAATCACACAGACTGTATGTGCCCAATAGCTGATATGGACTTGGTGCCCCTGCTGGGAATGGAATCCCAGCGGTTTAGCTAACAGCCAGTTAGAGTGCCTCCAGGTGATGAGAAAGTATATATTTTCTGAAAGGAAAAAGATGTACAAACTGTGTTCATTTTATATTAATTTTATAAACTTTCTATAGTGACAAATCACATTTCTGCCATACTAAGATGAAAATATAAATGCAGCACCTTTAGGTCCTGGAGCATGTGTTCCTACAGGCCCTTAACATGGAAAGTAGCTGGTTCTCAAGTTCATAAGTGTAAAGCTAGAGATGACCACTTGCTTATCTCATGCCTTTTCTCTGTATTCATATCACTTTAGAGTAAATACACATAAGAATGTGAGGGACATCTGTGATTGTGTGACACATGTAACACTGTGCCATTTATTTGCACTTGAAACATAAAGCTAGTCTGACATTATCACTATTGCTAGCTCTGTTTCATCACAGCTTTCACAAGTTGGAGTTTTGATTTTGTGTTATTGTTAGTTGGTATGTCAACTGGGGGCACAGTCTGATGATATGGAAGTTCTGGCAAGTTACACTTCACTTTAAGTTCCTGCCACTTGGACTTGACACGGCTCACCAACCTATCTTTGTAACGGTGTGCTGTTCGATCCACGATAGATGCAGTCTTGATACAGTCATTGCCTCCAAACTCACACACCCGATAGTGATGCAGGATGGCAGCATCAGGGGGCACATTAAGCGTCCCATGACCTGGAACAAACTCCCAGATGAAGTGATTGCCTGCCTCAACCACGAACTCAGGCCTACACAGATACTTGGAGCGCTGTTTATGTGGATGCAGCTTGCTTCTCCGACGAGTCTTGCGTAATGTCATGAGCCCTATCTCTGTTGCATCTGTGGATTTGACAATACTGGGATCATCTTCCCATTGGAGGTAAAAGAATGCATTCTGGAATGAGTATGATCCAGTTGTTCTGGTGTTAAGTCGTGTCCCCAGCCACCTGTCAACATATCAGACAACAGATAATACTCAAAAATTACACTTAAATGTAACCTGGCTTAACTTCTGGCAGTAGCACTTCTTTCTTCATACCATATATAATGCTTATACTGCCATGACTTTGTCACCAGAGCTCATTTGTCATGATAAGGTATACCATATGAAGATGATACTGACATTCAGGTAGGACAAACTTTATATTGTGCATCCTACCCCATACATCCCACGATTGTTATTTATTTTGTTGATTTATGTGTTTCTGGTGTTACAGTCAACTGAACTGCACTAGCTGTGACTTACTCGACAAGCTGTGGAAGCGTGTCATTGTGCCGAGGTATGATGTATTCATCCAGGTCCACCAGGGCAGCATGTGAGTATCGATACATGCTACGGTACAGACAATCATTGAGAGCTGCAAACAAGCCCTCTGTACGTATCTCTTTCTGGGAGACCATGTTCAGTTGCCAGGGCAATAGAGTGACAATCCCATGGGCCATATAATCCTCTAGGATGCATCCCACTTGAGGTCCCACTGTGTCATTGTACAATGTAAAGTGATGCACCCCAAGAACTGAGTTCAGCTCCAGGAACTCCAGCATCTGCAGTGCCTGAGACAACAGAAAAAGTCACACAATTCTTATTCAGAGAGTATACTGATTATTGTTTTCATCAGTTCCTCCAGGCAGACTGCAGTCACTTGAATATTTGTCAATTTTCAATTAATCCTTCATAACCACAGTGTCATTCAACATTGTGCAAACGTTTGTAGTTAACAAAGTTTTAGGAAGTCAAGAATTCTTATGCACAACTGCATGCTCTGGCAGGATGGTTTGCACTTCATGTGAAATTCTGCATCACTATTCATATTCATGAACATGTCAACTGGCTTTTCCTTTAAGTTAATCTGATGCACTATTCATATTCATGAACATGTCAACCGGTTTTTCCTTTAAGTTAATCTGATTTTAAAATGTTCAAATTCCTCTTGGGTCAGCTTGTTCAAATATGTTCTGTAACATTTCTCATTGGCACACAAATTACCAGACCTGGCCATAAAGCTGTTCTTTGGTTGAATCTCAGTCTTAAACAATTCAACTGTTTTTGTTGTACAGCATTTAATGAGAAGGAAAGCAGAAGATGAATGGTGAGCAGGTATGTATTTGAAAGAAGACTGTCATGGCCTGTATGAAGGTACTATCCTGCCATTTGTCTGGAGAGAATGAGAAAACTATGTATAATCTCAGTCAGGATAGCTGGTGTCCTGGCCAAGATTCAAACCAAGTACTTCCCAAATACACAAGCACAGCAATGTAAATACTTTAAGCTATTATATGAAATAGTAAGTGCATGTACTTGCCTGGTTGTAGTTGAAATGGATAGGTTTTACACAGAATGCCTGCAGAAATGTTCCTGAGGTCAGGGTCCCAGTCTGCATTGCGGACCAGCATATGGTTGGCTGGTGGAAGTCGCAGTCGACTAACAATGGATACACTCTGAGGCACAGACAGGTTCTGATCCAGGGGACACAGGATAAAGCATGCACTGTACTTGAGGTTCCAGTTCTCCCTTATGACCTGAAAGAGAAGCCAGTTTCAGGAGTCTTATTCTTGTGGTGGTTTCTAGACCACTGCTGATACAAGACTGTTATGCAAATTTGTAAATTTCAGTTGATGCTATAGATTTTACCATGGTTGGAAAAATTGCTGCTTTGCAACTAATAACTTTTCTTTTGTTTCTTGTTTCCCTCTACATGTCTAATAACTTGCATTGAACATTACTGTGTTCAGATATACTAGTTATAATTAGATTTGATGAATATTATTTGCACTGTATGGTGCAAGACAGACACAGGATTAATCCAGTTCTGTTTTACTGAGAAAAAATGCATCCCCAGTTACTTAACTGACCTTGACTTTAGCTGCAACAGACACAGAATGTGTGGTACTAGTGTTGTTTCCGTACCACAGTCTGCACCACACCTGTTCAGGACCCCGTGTCTTGGTGGCCCCCACTATACGTATACTGCGTTCCTCACGCTGGTCATAGAAGGCAGAGAACACAAAGAACTTGAACCTGAAAGAGATGTCACAGCTAGGAATAGTCACTCCAAAGTAATAGTAACACAAGGCGAACTCTGTATTAAAGTATTCATATGTTTTCAATGTTAATATCAGCCTTTGCTTCCCAATCCATTTATTTTTATGGCAATACCTGGTAAGTCCTACAATAAAAATTAAATGAAACTAATAATTCAGCTATGTTCACAGGATTTCCATTTTTAACTGGTCCATGCCTGCTTTCCTTCATAAAAGGTCACACTGCTATGTACACTATGTGATGAAACAGATGAATCCAATAGTCATATTGATATATCCAAAACTTTGCTATCTTGTACTACATGAGAAATTACTCTTTTAAATTGTGGTTACACAGTGATGCATTTGTACATTGTTCTTCCTTAAATTTTAGGAATATGTGTTATGTTATGTTCTCCATTGTTAATAGCAATATATTTTATTACAAAGGAAGATACAATAACAAATGGGGGATGTGTTATGCTTTTTTATTTTTTAGTATGGCCTGAATTAATGACCTTATGTTAAGACACAACATTTATACAAGTTTGAATCTCTCATGCATCTTGGTTTACTAATAGATTTTTAAAAAAATTTACTTTTTGTGAGAAAAGATTCTTTTACAGTGTACAGTAGTTGACAGCACAATTATAATAATATTGCTGAATGCAGAGTACTGTAAAAGTTAAGATTAAGGTAAATGCAGAGTAGACCCTAAGCCCAGCACTGTGACAAGAAAGATTCTCTTGCACACATGGGTTTAGGAGAAATATTTGTTGCCATGAAATTGGTATTTTATTTTTTGTTACTATTGCTGGATTTCAGGTCTTATTCATTTTCTGGTATTCTCCAAAGAACACATGTGATAAACTGGAACTGTTTAAATTGGTCCACAAAGAAGTCATAAACTCAATCAGAGGGCCACTGTCAGGAAACTAACACTTTATATGTTTCTAAGCTTCTTTTGTTAACTGCTGATAAGACAGTTTGGATTGAAAGTGGTGTAAGTATCGATAATGGCCTAAAACGTATTATTTACTGTTGACAAAATTCTGTCTTATGGGCTTATATAGCTTTAGTTGACTAAAATTATCCAGTAATTGAGGTTAGCCCTTTCTAACGTGCCCAGCCAAGTAGAAGCTCTCCACATTCTCACTCAATAACGGAAATATTCAGTTTCCAAAACCTATAATTTTTCGGAATACAAAAAAAACCCCGCAAAGACCAACAATCCAGCAATGGTAATTGTAATATACCAGCATTATATTACCAGTGCAATAGCGCCTTCGCAACGTAAGTAGCAAGAAATGGAATTAACATGGGCATCATCTT